TGCAGAGAATCTCCAAGAAGGACGGAGGGGCCTAGCGTGAGGCAAATGCAAGAGCTGGGAAATCCCTGCATGTCCATGTCTTTCTTTCTGAGACCCAGAAATGGTGATGGTGATAATGCTAGCATAGGGAGTCGCCAGCGCTGATTTCAGAGTTGTAGCTGTAGGCTTGTTAGATGGTTGAAATTAAAGAGACACGTGCCTGTAAGTCCGGAGAGGCTAGCTGCAGGGCTGGCCTCGGCCAAGGGTGGACAGAAATCAGCTCGGTCCTCCCCACGGACCTTCCGGAGCACAGTACTCACCTCCAGGGCTACCTGCAGGGAGTGGGAGCCGAGGAAGCGTGCCAAGGAAAATCAAGGCTGCCAGCATCCTTATCAAATGTGGATTTTGTTATTTATTACACATTTCTCAAAAAAAAAACAAGAAGATTTGGTTTGGAGCGAGAAACAGAAGCCTAGCCTCCACTGGACTTGCTTAGGTTTTCTATTTGCATTCCATGAGTTATGTTTATCTATTTAAGTTGCATTATGAAAAATATGTTAGGCTTTCAAGAAAAAGAAAGCTCTTGTTAAATCAAGTTTACATCGACTTGGTCATTTTGGGCTGTGAATGCTGTTCTCCCATCCTTGAATCTTTCTCATTTTTATTAATTTGAGGTTTGCTTTTTTTTTGGATCAGACTTACTCTTTCATGTTTCTCCTCCCAAACAGGTACTTTATTTTCCTCTAAATGTTAGATTAATTTGCTTAATTAATAGCTTATTTTAAAAGATAGGCCCACCTCCCTTCATGAAACCTAGCCAGGTTAGCCTTCTCAGGTGAATAGACTCCTCAGGAGGGCAAAGTAGCTTTACACAAGCCAGGGAAAGCACAGGATGAGGGCAATTCTAGGCCCCTGCTGAAGGCAGAGGGCAGTGCTTGGCCCCAGACTGCAGGACCTGCCCACTGGCTAGCAGCACCCTGAACCTAGGTACTTCCTACTCATGCACTTGTTCTGCCGTGAGGGACAATCCTTGGAAGGTTTAGTGCAAATCAGAGGAGAGTTCCAAATATAGTGTTATTGGAATACATTCTCCCCCAACACACACACATACATACACACCCATTTTGTTTTGACTTGACCCTTGATGGATAGAATAGATAGATAATCGGTAAGTAGATAGATACTTTCTTGCCCACCCAAAGGTGATATGCAAAATATTTAGCCCTTTTGGCAAGAGATCCAAATACCCACCAGAACCACCCACCACTATAGATCTGCACCAGGCTGGAGGAATTCCCTGCTGATGACAGAACTGACCCTTTAAGTGCTGGGCTGGAAAGTGGTCCAGATGAGCAGGATCGGGGGTCAGGAAGGACAGACAGCATGGGTGTTGGGGCAGGGTGGGGGTGGGGTTGGACCTGAAGATTTCAGAACACATGAACTATTTTAACATTTTAAAAATAGGTGAGAACATACTCATCCGAATGGCTGGAAATCACATGTGCTCTCAGCCCAGTCCCCACTGATACACTGGAAAGAAGAGAAGAAGAAGCAAAATCCTATATGCAAGGTGTGATTTTATTGGAGTCAAATATTATCACCTATGCAGGATAATCTGTGATCCCTGGGTAGCCTTCACCATTGGCCAGTCTGCCTATTGGGTCCTGGGGATTGGTAGTAAGTCCTTAGAGCTGGGGATGATAACCGTGTAAGCAAGGGTCTGACCTGCTGGTCCTGCTCCAGGGTTGCCCCTTCGGGCACTAAGGCAAACATCACCAACTGTGGGTCCTCAAGAGTGTCCCTCCTCCCCTGCACCAGCATGAAGCAAATTCCTCTCATCGTCCTCATTGTATTCTAAACCTAAAGAAAACAAGGTGTCATGCCCAGAAGTTAGTCCATAAAACATTAATCACTATCCCCGTCCTAGAGAGGCTCCTGACTGGTGAAGGTGTGACCTACAGGAGGGATGGAAAAATCCTAAGGAGGTAGCACGTGCCTGGCCATGCCATGGGCGGGACCCCTGGCACCAGTCCCTCCAGTGCTTTTCCAGACTGGTTTCTGGCATTGATGCTGAGGATACTGGGGGCCCAAAAGTTAGAGAATCCTCCCTGCACCTACCGAAAAGTTGCCATCCTTGGGGCCAATGACAAATGGCTGACTTGAGTCACCTGCGCCTCTGTGCTTGGGCCCTCTTGTGTCCACACTGGCTTTGAGAAAGATCGTGAAGCTGTGGTCAGGGCCAGAGTCATGGGCCAGAGGCTTCCCTGCTTGTGTTTGAGCAGCTGACTGACCCCAGTGCAAGGGAGTTTCAAAATCAATTCTCCTCTCACATGCCTCTTAGCACCTCTCGGAAATATGGTCTATAAGGATTCCAGAATCATAGATGTTTAGAAACCCCGGATTACCCAGCCACTGCCAACAGCCATGCAGTTGCATAGTTAAACGGCAAGCGCTCAGGTTGATCTGAACATTCTCCACAGGACTCTGGCTGCTGTCCTCTTAAAGGGTTTTGGGGAATTGTATGATCTGGCCTAGAGATCCTAGGAGGCCTCAGAACAGTTGGGGCAATTATGGAATCAGGACTTTTTGTTCCTGTGAGATTCATGGAGAGACAAATATTCTAGGATTCAGAGGTTGTTGGATTACATCCTGTTTCCTGTGGGCTGAGTGAGGAAGGCATGTCCAGCCCAGCAGCACCACCTCTGCATGAAAGCCTCAGGACCATGTGGGCACCTGTGATCTGCTTTCTGGAGGACTCATCCAGAAAAGGCAAAAGGTGCCCAACCAAAGCATCTCACCTGTGCAGGTGCTGGAATGCTCAGCAGCTTGGGAAAAGGTTGAGTCATGGACGCTTCCAGGAAATTTACTCTCTCTACTGAGATCCAGTGAACAAAATAGGTAAGGGCACTGGTTGCTCTACCAGCCCCACTCCGGTTCTTGTTATTTCCCCAAAACCCATCTTCTGTGCTAGGATGGATGGAAAATGAGCAGAGCAGAGCTAGGGATCACCCTTGAGAGACTGACCACCTGAAGAACTGGAGGGGCTGGAAGATAAGAGAAGTCTGGAGCAGCTTGGCCCCCCAATTTTTCCGGTAGGCCTGGAGGGGTATGAGACCCCTTTGTGGATTATTGTTACCTCTTGAGGTACAGCTTTGCCCCTCTGCATTTCACACAGCCTGGTGAGAGAGGACAACTTCTGAATGAGGACATTTATCAGATATTTCCTTCTAGATACAGGAGCAGTCAGGCCTGAAGGGCACTGGGGAAGCTGGGCAGGACCAGTGCCCGCGGAGCGGCTGGGGCTGGGTGGCACCAATATGTCTCAAGTGAACACCATGTGCAGCTGGCCCGTGAACGGCACCCTCCTGGCTCTGGAGACCCCACAGTGAGCCCTTCTTCCTCCCCTGCTCCCTCCGTCCTCTCGTCATTCTTTGGACAGAGGAAGGCTAGCTGCTTGGCTGGCCCACAGTTAAACATACTAATGGTCATGACAACAGGCCAGTGTCTCATGGTAGATAAGGCCTTCTCACCACCAATGTTAGCAGTCAGACAAAAATCGCCATTCTCCCACCAACCTTAGCTGTGCGCCTTTGGGCAAATCATGCATCAGGATAGTCCTATCTAATTTTCATGGATGCGTAAAGAGCAGAAAGGCTTTATGTGAAGTCTGCATACATTATTACAAGTGTTCAAAAATTACCAGCTCCCTGACCTGTTCAGGCCCTGCCCCTTGTCATGAGGATTCTAAATAACTAAACAGTCAGTCACAAAGGCTGTGTCCTGCAATGGCTGTGGGTGGTGACAGAAGCACCGGGTCTGTGGTGGGGAGGACTGAGGACACATGGGGACTGAGAGGGCTTCAGGCACGGGTGGATGGGACAAGATAAAGAGACAAGCCAGGGAGAGCCGTGAGGAAGGGGCCCGCACAGCCTCAGGTTACAGCGCACTGCTCTGTGCTTCAGCTCCCCCACAGCCTGTCCACAGCCTGGGAGCTGCAGGGGCAGTGTTTGTGGGCAGACAGCCAAGGTAACGCAGTGCACACTGGGCTAGGAGGTCTGTTCTGATTGCACTTATCTGCCTTCACTGGGTCACCTAGCCCCTAACCCTATGCATGTCTCTAAGCAACAGTGATGTGGGTGAGGGGGCAAGACCTCCAAGATGCCCCTTCCTGCTCTGTCCATTCCCATGGCCACACCTGTCCAAGTGAACTGGTGAAATTTCCAGATCGAGGGTTCTCGAAACCTGCTAGACTGGGCCTCCCTGGATAGCACAGGCCTGCCCGTGGCCTATTTCCTATCAGCATCCCAATATGCGGGTATCTGTCCCTATTTGCAGACACTGGCTCCTGTGTGTGTGCTTGGTTGGGGCTGGGGTATCTGAGTGTCCAAGCCGGACATAGATTTGTCTCGTCTTTGACTTTGGTCTCCAGCACCTGTCTTGCCTCTTTTGGGAGCTAACTTACTCTTCCCCGCTTAGCCACTGCGGGTGATGCTTCACGAGCTACTGAGCATCACTTGTGCTCGGCATGAAGCCTCTCAGCTCTCGTGGGTGAGTCTGTCTCCTCCACCAGACAGAGCTCTGTAGACAGAGCTATGGCCCCGGGACCTGGCGTAGTCATGGGCAGGGCTGGAAGTGTGTGTGAAGGACAGGGGGAGGGACACTTGGGCCTCCTCTAAGGAGGACAGGGGATTAACAAGACTGTCATATTTCAATCCTGTTTCCACCCTCCTTCTGCTCCAGAATTAAAGATGACTCCCACCACCACATTGAAGCTGCTCAGAATCCCTATCCCTCTCTCTAACCCTATTCCACTGGGCCCGAGTGTCCTTATGAGGGACAGGACCCCATATCCCTCAAAGGAATTCTGGGATGAGTTGGTGTCCAACCCTGAGGCCAGGGATCCTGGAAGCAGGCAGTGGGTGCCCCTCCGACTGGGTCCCCAGGAAGGCCCTGATCTCTCAGGCCCAGAGATGCCTGTGAAGACAGTGCCAAAAGTTGAAAAATACCACAGGAAGCCTGTATGACTTTACATGCTATTTTCCTTTATTTATTAACGTATAATGAAATTCCAATGCCAAAACAGACATATATGCAGAGCAGAGAGAAGCAGGGTCCTGGTACACAGCAGCCAGCATGGGGCGGGGAGTGGACTGCACCCCTCCCTCCAGCAAGACCCTGACCCCTCCTGGTCCCTGGTCACTGCCCTGGCAAAACACTCAGAAGTTGGGAATGAGGAGTCAGTCTCACAATCCAGGGTGTAGTCAGAGACGTGACTTTGGCCACGAGTCCCGGCCACATCATCACCTAACTCTGGGACCGTTGGCCTCAGTTTCCTTATCTATAAGTGGACTAGAAGTCCCTGGTAGAGAATGGAGAAGGGACTGTGAGGCTGTGATGGGCCACTGACAGGCAAGAACCTCCTGACCGCCTCATTGCCTTTAGATTTTCCCAGTTTTCCTCACCATGGTGGGTCTGAGTCCAGAGATACCTGCACCAGCCATGGTAGAATTGACAGGCTCTGTAGATAACAACCTCCAAGCAGACTCTGCTCCGAACTGCCCTTGGGACACAGCAGTAGCTACCTCACAGGTCAAGGTGAACTGTTCCAGGTAAATGAGGAAAGGCTATGTCCTCAGGAATAAGGGGTGAAATCTGCTTATTCTCCCCCCTTGGATTAGTGGGGGAAATCTCCCAAGGTGTCCAGCAAGTGTGTCCACTTCCCCAGGCCACGCTGCAACAGAACCACTTGTCTTCAGGTCTGGGCTTCAGACAACTAACTGCCCTTAATAAACACACCCCTGGATCATGGTGACCTGTGTCTGCATGAGCAGGAGGAAGTGGCAGACTGAGGAACGAGCAAGATAATGCAGTGATAGGAGGAAAAGACTAAACAGAAGTGAATAAAGCAACAGGGTACACCTTCCTCACTCTCCAAATAACCTTCATTCTGCAACAGCAGACCCCAGTTGGCAAAGACACTGCACAGGGATCAGCCCTGCACCCCAGGTTTGGGAAATTTCAATGACTGGACTGTTGCTCTCTGCTTTGTAACGTGTGCGCTGCATTCGTGTGTATGCACAGGTACAGTCGTGTACCTGGGGAAAACCCGGCCAGCTGGAAGCAGCAGCACTGGTCAGGTGCATATCTTCCAGAACCCAAGGTGTGGCTAGCTCACAGAATCCTAGAGAGGGGCCTCCAGCTTTCCCCTATCCCTGTCTCCTTATGGATGGGGGGCACTAAGGCCAGAAGGATGGGCAGCCCAAGACCATGAACAAGTCCAAGGTGGGGCTGCCCAGAAGCAGCCCAAACTGCAAGGCTGAATCTTATCTGTCACTTGCCTTATCACGGCAGGCTTGGAGTCTCTTCCCCTCAAAGTGCCCTGAAGGGCAAGGGCAAAGTGCATGTTATTAGAAAGAGGGGGTGTCACACCCATGGGCACAAAGCAATAATGGTGGAACCCCAGGCACCTGTGGCAGGTGAGTTGGTGAGCAACTTTGGGATGAGGGGGGACTTTCTGGCATAGCTCCCGTCACACTCTGAGGGGACAACTTAGCAGGGTGGGTCCCTCTCTTTCACCTCCTCTGTGTCTTCAAGGGAGTGGGTGATCGGTAAATCTTGGTCCCCAGGAAGCCCTAAGGCCAGGAAACAGAGAAAGAGAAAGAAAGTGATAGAAATAGTCCCAAATCAGGCTTGACCTCACAGGTCCTGCGGATCTTTGGGAAGTGACTTTGGCCAGCTTGTCAGAGTGTCTACAATATGGATTTCACCCCTCCCCACCTCTGCCCGCCCCTGCCCCCCACCCCCCACGTCGATGCCCAGGGCCAAGCCCTCATCTATTTGGGCTTCATCTCCACCCTGGAGTTGACTTCATCGGCATCCAAGTCGTATTCCTCCACCTGGCCGCTGGTCCACACCTTCATCCGATCTGTGAGGTCGCTGCTGCGCGGGGCCAGGATGAAGTCGTAGATGAGCACGGCCAGGGCTCCCCCGATGAATGGCCCCACCCAGAAAACCTAGGAGCAGAACATGCTCAGAGGACATCTGGGTGAAAGCCCCAGCCCTCAGCTCCCTGCCCACCCCCCTCAGAATGATTTCTCTCCCACTTATGCCTGGACAGAGTCAGGCAGACTGTAACCCCAACATCCTGATTCCGGTGCCTCCCAGAACTAGCCCAGGAGGCCAGGACACTAGTAGCAAACATCTTGCCTTGGTGTAGTCCAGTTCCACGTGGTCAGACCAGCCCCTCTTGAGGGGTGACCACTGCCCCCTCCCCAAGTCTGCAAGAGCCCCAAAGAGTCTAGTGTGATAAAGCGTTTACCTGGAACAGAAACATCAACAGTAAGAACATCTCCATCCACTGAGCTGACGGGTACCAGGGCCAAGGGCCTCCTTCCCCCCAGCAAGCTGTGGTGGAGGTTGGTAGGTGCCACCACATCCCCCTTTATAGTTCAGAAAACGGAGGTATGGAGAGGCCAGCATCCTGTCCAAGGTCAGGCTCATCAGGACAGTGGCAGAGCCAGGATTTGGAAGTCAGCCTCAGCCCGCTGCTGGGACAAGCTGAAGTACGTCTGAACTGGGAGGACAGATGCCTGGCCCCTTCATCTCAGTTTCCCACTTCCTCTGCCCTGGCTGTTGCCCTGATATTCTCTCCTGGGAAAGAGAGCTGCAAGGTGGGGTCAGGCTGAAGCCCTACCACCACCTCCACGGGGTGCCTGGATCACCTTACCCAGTGGTCCTTGAAGTTGTGAGTGATCACTGAGGAGCCAAAGGACCGTGCAGGGTTAATACCGCAGCCAGTGTAGTCAATCTGGGAGCAGGAAGGGGTGAGTGGGCAGACGGGGCAGCCAAACACCGGAGATGGAGAAGAGAGAGACACACAGAAAGTGAAAACACAGAAAAGAAATTGAGGTAAAGCAAAAAGGTGATAATCAGACCCAGAAGGAGACCGTGACCTTAGAAAATGGTCAGGAGTTCCCTCTGCTTCCCTCTTCTGCTCAGACCCTGCTCCAGCCCCCACAACTGTTCCCCTTACTCCATAGCATGAGCCCTGTCATGGTCACCGCTGACCCAGGGCCCACAATCCTGCCCTTCCCACCCCACAGGGAAGGCCCCCTACTCACCGCCAGCAGGTGGCCCAGGGCCACAGAGAAGCCAATAGCGAGGGGGCCCGAGCCCCCGAGGTCCCGCCGCCTGCGGTCGGTGGTGGCCAGCACACACAGCACCAGCTGCAGGGTGCCAATGATCTCGATGCCCAGACCTTGGCCAGAGTTCACACCGGGAGCCAACTGTAGGGAATGGGGTGGTAAGGTGCAGGGGCAGTGAGCGGGCAGTCTGTGATGGTGGCCCAGGCCCCCCAGGCCAGGTCAAAGGCCAGACCCTTAGCACCTTCAGGCCCCTGACTGGGTCCAGAGGGGACCCAGCCTCCCTCCCAAGCTCAGCCCCTTCTACCTGCCTAGGCCAGCAGTGCTCCTCCTCAAGACCAGAGAAGCAAATGTGGGGGCGGGGAGGGAAGGAAGGGAGGGCGTGGAGGGGTTATGGACATCCAGCCACAGGCAGGCCTGCATGCCCTGAGGGACAGCGCCATAGGTGAGGGGCCAGTCTCAGACAGGGAAATTGTCACTGATTCTCTCAGGAAAAAAAGGAGGATTTTGCTTCATACACCAAAAGTCCAGAGCATTCCACCTCATCCCCTGGGGAATATGCAACTCCCCAAGCTGGGAAAATTTCTCCTCAGGGCTGGCCCCAGGTCCCAGAGGCCCTCTCTGCTTTGCGCCTATCCCTGGGCTGCCTCCCCCTCTGTCTCCTTCCCTACCTCTGCCGTCTCTCCATCATTCCCCAGGTTGAGTGTGTCTCTCCCATCCATCTCTTCTTGGCCCTACCCTGCCTGTCTACCTCCTGACCTGCCCCCTCCCTCTCCCTGGCCACGTCACCCCACCACCACCGTCTGGCTGCCTCTTGCTCCTGGGCCACTTTTAGAAACATGACTCATGGAAAAAAGAGGGAATGGGAGTTGCTGTGAGGTCACTGGAGCTCTCCCCCTGCAGCTGCACCAGGGAGCCCCCACCCCAAGGAGCCCCTGTATCTCCTGTGGGGTCCCAGGAGCCAAGTGTCTCCACACAGGGAGCTGGGCCGTGTCAGAAAAGTCCCACTTGCAAAGATGTCCGGATGTGGCCATGTAGCAGTCAAGGAACTGCACAGATTCGCAGGCACGGCTGCTATCTCCCAAGAAGCCTGAACTTAAAAGTCTCACCCTAAAGGTGAAGGTGTCTCCAAGGCTAAAGGGCATTTTGCAAAATCCTAAGAAAGGGGCACTCCTGCAGAGCTATTCTCAACCGCACCCCAAAGCCATCTTGCAAGAACAATCCTCTTCCCGCCTTTGTGTGCAGCCCTGGGTCACAGGGAAAATGACTCACATCCCCTCCCCTGGTTACAGTCCCAGTTCTGGGTCCTTCCTGGAGACCCTCAGGTGTGGTCTCTCAGCCCTTGGAGCAAGCCCAGTCTTCTGCCCCCTCCAAGATGGGGTTGTAGAGGAGGGCTCTGAGTTAAGATCTTCATTCTCCTACTTATTGTCATAGGAATGTGGCCTTTCCCCTCTTTGGTCCTCGGTTTTTCCATCTGTAAAACAGATCTAATTTGCCTTGAGTGAGTGAGCAGAGCTTCAGGGGAATGGCCACTGTCCAGGGCCTTTGGAAAAGCTTGAAGAGGCAGGAGGAATCAGGATGGCGTTTCTGGCTTTGTTCTGGTTCGTTGTCATCTTATCCCAGAAATGGGGGAACAGTAGAAGGAGTATGGAAATGGGCGTGAGTCCTGCCTGGGCTCCACTTAGTGAGGCTGGTGAGGCCAGACAGGCTTACACACATGCCCATCACCCTCACGCTTGCTGGATCCTGAGTCTGAGCGCTTGGGGTGTTCAGGACTCCTCCCCCTGCTCTACTTTGCTCCCAAGAGTCAACTGAATTGCTAGCTGGCAGGAGTCCTAACACCAGTACTTCCATGCTGGTTTACGCAGCCATCACCCCAAGTTGCTCCTGCCTCACATGCCTACGCTGTTCTTCTCACACACCGGTCTAAGAGGATTCATCTCCTTCCCCAGTACTTAACCGGGTCCGAGCAGCCCAGCTCCTGCCTGCCCCAAAGCACTGCTTTTCATGTCAAGTGAGCAAGCTGAGGACCTAACACCTGCAACACCTGCCCAGAGCGCTGAGTCCACGGGGAGGGAGAAGTCAGCTGTCCTAGGAACTCCTGGATGCACCCCTACCTGATTGTTCAGAATCCTTAACTCAAAAAAACAAAGGGGGTTGGTATCCTCCTCCTTTTAATACCCACCATCACCACCTCCAGGAAGTCCCCCCTAATTACATCAGTGAGGTGTGGACACCTCCCCCTTGACCACTAAAGAACTTGAATTATTTACGTCTAGAAAAACATGTTCCTTAAAAACTGGAGGGTGTAGTTAGAGGTCTGTTGAAACTTTGTCCAGGAAACAACAGGTAAAAGTTCAAAACACATGTTACTTTTTACCAACCATTAAATTTCAAACAATTGTTTAAACAGGGCCAATCCCAGGTGTGGTCACTTATTGAAAAAACACATTTGTTTGCATATCCCCACATAGTTCTGCCCAGTTCAGGTCATATATTTCAATGATTAAGGCCAAAAAAATAAAATAAAATAAATAAAAAGGAAATCAATTTTGTAAATACAGAGATAAACAACAGAAAACTCCACACAGTTAATCTGAAGCAACAGGAAGGCACACTTTCTCCATTTGCAAATCAAGCCAATTGAAGGTCACTCTCAAATTTAGACTTCATGACCTCGAAGGATGGCTGAAGTCACCATCCATCATACTCACTAAAACTGCCTGTGACTCTTACAAGGTGCATCCTCTCAGGAGCTCAGAACCCCTGACCTGGAACGTGAGACCTTCCCATCATCCTGCCCTAGTCTTGGACGAGACACTCGCTTTGTGGCAACAGAATTGGTGGAGAATACTAATTTTCTAGAATTCTCATCCTTTCTAGAGGCAACCTACCTCCAGGGAAGCTCTCTGGATCCGAACGTGGCTTATTTGCTTTGGAGCTGGGAGGCCGTGGGCCACATTAATCTCTGTGAGCCTTCCAGGGAAGCCTGTGAAGGGTGCTGTCCAGTGATGGATGAAGAGGCAGAGGTCCAGGGAAGAGACCGTAAAGCCAGGGTCCTTGCCTCGGGGTTACGGGCCAAGACACGGTACCCGCAAGTCCAGCCAAGGGACCTGGCTGTTCCTAGCCTGAACTGGTGAGCTGGCAGAAGATGGCTTTATAGCTGCCAGCATATTCCAGGTGCCAGAGGGATACAGCATGATCTCTCAGGGAATGGACCTCAAGTTCTCCCTGCTTCCTCTGAGAGACTGGCCAGGTGACTTCCAAGGCCTGGACACGCTGGTCCCCCACCCTTGGGGACCAGCAGGCTCCAGAGCCAAATGTGACGATGGCTATGAACATCTGCTCTCAAAGAACAGGAGACAGAGACGCCAAGGCCTGTCCCACTCACCCACCACCTTCAAGATTCAGTTCTTGCAGTGAGGATACCTCTGTGGGTCTCCATGTCTCCCCACCTTGCGCTCATCCATGTGTCTTTGTGGATGGTGGCTGCAGTATACATGGGAAGTCACATCCATCCAAGCCTGACTCCCTGCTTTTCTTTTCCATTAGACAGTAACAGGTTTGTCATATAATAGTTACATGGAAAGTCTCAACCAAACAATATAGCCTAAAAATAAATTACTCAGGCCCTCTCTGGTGGCGCAGCAGGATAAAGCACTGCACTAAGAAGCTGAAACCACTTCCGCATGAGTTCGATTCCCGCCTGCCCTGGAGGTGACCACATGGCGTGGCAGACCTCTCCTGACCCGCCCACTGCTCCCCTCAGCAGTGTACTTCGTCGATCTGCCTGTTCTGCTCCCACTCTTCTCTGGTGAAGTCTTTCACCACCTCTGAGTCTCTGGCCTGTACCCCAGTTCTGTATGTACAAATAAATAAAATCTTTAAAAAATAAATAAATTACTCAAAAATTGACAGAATTACAAGGAGAATCTGATCAATCCACTACTGAGTGAAAGGTCTTTTCTTAGAAACTGATGAAATAAAGCCATCAAAAAATATTCCTAGCACAAAAAGGGAGGGTTTGAACCACACGACCGACAAACTTGATCTAAGGAAAATGTGAAAAACTCTACATCCTGAAATCTGAGAACACTCACTCTTGTGGTCATTCAGATGAACCGGCCATTAACTGGCCAGGCACATCTCAACATGTCTGAGGTGCGGCGGCCTTTCCAGGTATGTCACCGTGTCCCTGTGTGTTGCTCACCCACTCACAAGTGCCATTGCCCGAGGGGGTGGGGGTGGCGGTGAAAGAAAGGAGCTTCCCCCCACCTTGAGTAACAGAAGGAGCAGCAGTTCTCAAAGGACCTTTTCTTTACTCCAGAAATCATTTCATCTTCCTGATAAGAAACAATACACAAAGCCACAGCTTCCTCCTTTTCTCCCTCCTTCTTTACTTCAGGGCAGCCCCCAGCTTCCTGCCATGGAAAGAAAGAGGTTCTACTGAGAAGCCTCCATCCCACCCTCCTGCGATCCCAGGGCCCCAGTAGACCCAGGCTTCACAATGAGTCATGAGCCAGCCATGTGCCTTGAGCCAGCCATGAGTGTGTGTGAGCATATATGGATGCTGGAGCAGCAGAAATACCAAGGGCTGGGAGGCAGGAGGTTGGGCTGTGGTCTGGCAGTGCCGTGATCTAGTATGCACCTTAAAAAGTCTCCATGACTTTCTGGGCCTCAGTATCGTCCTCGTCAAAATGGAAACCTTGGCCAGATTCTAGCCCCAGATATCTAGAGTTCCTCCCTGCCTGAAAGGGTCCTGTTCCCCGACCCAAGATCCATGGTCATTCTTGCCAGGCCCCTGAACACAGGATTCCCTTCCACGAGGCCTTCTGAGCCTCCCGACTCCACATGGTACAAAACCTGTTACGGGCACTCCAACCCACCCCACTGTTCTTGTCAGAGGGCTGCAGCGCAGACTGCCTGCCTGCCTCCACTTGCTTGCCCCTAGTGACTCACAGCAGCCACTTTTCAATTAAAAAATAATCCTCTTTACACAGAGCAGACATCGGCCTCTCGAGATTTCCTCACGGTGGATTTGAAGTCACTGGAAAGAATGCTTAGTGGGAGTGGGACATTTCCAGTCTTTTATGTTGGAGTTTCAGTGCCAGGCTGTGTTTACCTACCTGAATTAGTTCCTTGAGTGTGAGAGGGCACTTAGCCCCCTGGAGGCCACCATGGTCAAGAGACCCCTCTAATCCCAGGAATGAGGCCCTGGCTAGAGGGACCTGCCCATATCTAGGGAAGTGTGGGCTCAGCCCCCACCAGTTGGGAGACTCCAGACCAGTGGTGCTTCCAGGGGACAAGGACTATGGTCCAGAGAGTCTCTGCTCACAAGAGCACAGGCGCCTTCTGTCACAAGGAGAGAAGCACACATGATGGGAAGGCCTTGAGCTCATGCTGAAGGAACCCTGATGGGTGGGGCCCTAGCAAAAGTGGGGAACACTAGCTGCCCTCCTGACTCAGGCTGGGCATGGCATTGGCCTGCAATGAGCTAATGGCTCAAGATGTGAGGGGGCTGGGCCTTCAGGGGCACTGGCAAGACCATGGCAAGTCCCCGCAGACAGAAGCACCTCACAGGTTCTGACCCCTATCAGAGCATTGTCACTCCAGATGAAGTTTCCTAGGGGAGTCTTGGTTAGGACCAGGTGTCCAGGTAGACAACATGGGGCCAGCAGGGCTGCTGTAACAGGAGAAACAGGCTCAGAACTTTCCATGGTGAGGGAAGTCTCCACCACAAAGATCCTGCCTCTCTGTGCCCTCCCCACTTCATCTGGTTCAGGCTGGAAGCAGTAATTATATGTCCCAGCTGTGGCACAACCACTCAGCCCCCAGCTCCTCCCTGCCAGCTGGGCTGGGCTGGGCTGGGCCTTTGGAAAACTCTGGCTCCCCTTTCTCCAGCTCACCCCAAACTCTGGAGAAGGCAGGAGGGGCCCTGAAGCCTGGAAAACCAGGCAAGGGGGAAAGTTTAGGCCTGAGGTCAGGGCCCTGATGCAGCAGATGAATCCCTCCCAAGTGGCCTCATTCAGGCCCTGAATGAGCAGGGCTGAGATAAGACTCCCAAAGAAGGAGCCTAAGAGCTTTGGGCGGGCTCAGCTCCCAGTGCCCACTCACAGTCAGACACTGAATCCTGAGCCCTCATCACCTTCCAGAGCCTCTCTTTCCAACAAGACTCATGCCCCCACTGGTCACATCCCATGATTCCCAGGCCACAATCTCCCATGGCCCCTTGCCCCACATACTGCCTGGAGGCCCCTTCCTGGCAGTGTGTCCACATTCAGGTTCACGTGGCATCTCTCTGAAACCTTCCTGCCCCTCCCTAACTCAGGGTCAGAGTTATTCTCTGACACCTCTTATCATACCTGCCTCCTGCCCCTTATCATGGGCAGCTGTGCCAGAGCCTGGTCTTATCTTGCCCAGGACCATGGGAGACCCAGGGCAGGGAGCTGGTGACTCAGTCTGAAACTGTCTCTGTCCTGTCTGCTGCATGTGTGGCGAGCCAGTCAGAGGAAGAGCCAGGCCAGCAAGGGCCAGGACTCCAGGTTCACAAGCATCTTCTTCTGCCCATACCCAGCCACACCCTGCTGGGTCCCTATTCCAGGATGGAACCTAGAGTCATTCAGGATAGTTGGCTGCGTGATGTCACACAGTGTATGGGACTGGCTAAAGTATGGCACCAACCTGGGGCCCGTCAAAAACCCCTCGGTCAAAATTGGGGTTTGACTCTTCGAACTAGTTGAGATCCGACAGGCCGGAAAGAGCCCCAGGTCCAATCCAGGGCGTATCCCAGTCCCTGATTCAGTGAGGAGAAAGTTGTCCTTGGGGGACATCCCCTGACTCACCCCAACCACTTCCTGCCATTTCTTTCCCGATTTTTTTGGAAGTCTCCATGACAACGACTTACTCCACCCCAGCTTGGGGCCGGGTGGGGCTTAGGGCCCAAGGGACTAGGGGAGCCTCCCCCCAGGGCCCGGAGGAAAAAGTGTGTCACCTTCTGTGTATACACATCCCTGCCCCTCTTGAGGCCACTTCAGATCCCAGGTGCAGGGTGTGACAGGGGCTCTTGGCAAGGACAATTTTGCCATTTGTCAGCCTAGAACTTGTGCTTCTGGGCCTCAAACAGGCATTATGTGGACAGGGCAATTCCCCCCACTGCACGCGCCCGCACACACACACACACACACACAATGCACGGTGCCCTTATGTTCAGCACGGCCCGAGGGTTCCTCTTAGCTAAACCCTCCTGGGAAGAGTGATAAACTCAAGTCAACAAAGTCCTGGTGGTTTGGGCGTGGCCAAGAGATATCAAGAGACTTGGAACCCCTCTTGTAACCTCAGGGTTCTCAGTGCCAAGGGAACAAGTCAGTGGACAATAACACTTGAAACTAATGTGTCTGCCTCTCAGGCTGTGGCTGGGTCCCCACGTTAGGCTGCCCCCCTTTTCTCACTTGTAGTCTGCCCAACCCATCTGTCAGGGTGACGCTGGAATAAGGAAGCCAGAGAAGGGGAGGACAGCTGGACAGACCTTGCAGGTCAACTTGGCACCACAGGGGCAGGGGTGCTGAGTTAGGGAGCTCAGTAACCTTGTGAAGGGACCAGGAGGCCTGGGGCCTCTACAATCCCACCGCCCCCCGCCACGCCCAGTCAGGCGCAAGCCCAGTACGCTCTTGCGCCTCTGCCGAGGGCACTCTCTGCGGTCACCCGGCTCTTGACCCTCTGGAAACACTGAGGCTGGGAGGGACACGGCTGTTAAAGCATGTTGCTTATAGCCATAGTCACACATCTTCCCGACTAAAGTCCAACATAAACTCCAGGCAGCAGGGCTAATCTTCAATCTGGCGCCCGGTGTGCTTGGCCCCACTGGGAGGCCAGGCGAAGCGTCACTGTGACACAGAGGTGCTAATCCTCCCCCGGCAGGGTTGTGCCCTCTGACCAGACCTTACCAAGCCTTCCCCCAGCTGCAGCATCATGACCTGAACTCTGGCTGGGAAGCGAGGGCCCAATTGCTATTATCACCCACTGCCGTCTCTGAGGAGCCCCCGCTGGCTCCCTTCTGTGTCCACGCCAGCCTGCCCTGCTCCCTGCCTGCCTCATGACTCCACATTTGATTCCTCCACTGCTCCTCGGCCTCTCTTACCCGTGAGGGCACCCCTCCTGCACACCAAGCTGGAGACAGATTCTCAGGCCAAATGCCCCTCCTGCTTGTGGCCCAGGCCAGGTCTGAGTTTGCACTTGGCTGAGGGGCTGGAAAAGCCCCGGTCTGCAACAGTAGGCAACTGCCGCCAACGGCCAATTAGCTGTGCTGTGCAGTCCAGGAGGAATTCTTTAGGCAGCTGCCACCCAGTCACCAACATCTGCTTATCATTAGTGCCCCCCCCAGGCGGCCCCACTTAGGCATAACAGTGGGCACATGCAGGTACACATTCCCCCCCACACACACTCACAACCGCACATGTGCTCCCAGACACACTCAGAAACAGACACATGCGGAGGACGGCTCGCACAGCCTCGGAGACCCGTGCCGGTGTCCACACGCCCACACCCCTTTGCGCACCCAAACACATCCACCACACTGCTCAGTGCCGGCGACAAGGAGTGGAGCCTGCAGCCCGAGGGCTGCCAGCCCGGCCCCCACCCACACTGAGATCCAGGACAGCCGCCTGCAAAGCCCAGTATCGCAGCCCTATCTTTGCCCAGTCCCTCGGGGCGGAGGAGCAGCAGGGACATTTTCCTTGAAGGCAATTTTTCTGGGGACCTGTGTGAGTATAGGGGCTTCCTGGAGCTCTGGGTGGACTCCCCTCATGGCAATCTGGGTCACAGCCGTCAGGGCGAGCTGCACACAGGCGGAGTACTGGGTCCGGCTGGCTGGGGACACTGAGCAGAGTCTCCCCAGGGTCCAAGCTACAGGAGAAGGGAGCTGGCTGCACAGGCAGAGAGCTGAGGGGTGGGGGGAGCCCAGAAACTACAGCAGGGGGTGAGCGACTGCTAGCCAAATGTCTGCGGCCCCCAGAGTTTATTCCCCACAATAGAAGCCCACCGGGGACATTGGCAAGATTATAACTAGCTTCCCACAGTGCCTGGCAAAAATCAGGCTCTGGACCGCAGGCATAGCTGAGTTCCAAGCCCAGCTCCACATAACCTCCAGCAACCTCTGGTTTCTCACTATCCCCATCTGCACAATGGGTGGAGGGTGAGGCTGGGGTGACAGAGCACTGCCCGGAGTTCCCCAAGGCCAGGCCAAAGCACTCACCTCGTTCCGGCCGAGTGAGTTTTCAGGCAGGGCGGAGGTGATGCCCGAGAGGATGGCGGTGCCCACAATGGCCCCTACGCACTGGGCGATGATGTACATGAGGGCCCTGAGGATGCTGATCTGGCAGCTGAGCAGCAGCCCCAGCGTGACGGCAGGGTTGAGGTGGGCACCGCTGATGTGGCCCACACTCTGGGCCAGCGTGGCGATGCTCAGCCCGAAGGCCAGTGACACCTTCACGTTATCCTGGGACGCACCTGCCGTCTGGTTGTTCTTCACTGGGTACTGGAAGCCCAGGGCTGAGCCGATGCTGATGAAGACGAAGAGGATCATGGCCAGAAACTCGGCCACCACTCCCCTCCAAAAAAGCTTCTTCTTGAACTCGCTGGCCATGCTGGCAGGGGGCTTGGCTTGAGACGGCTGCCTGGTGCCTGACTCCCTCCAAGAGCTGAGCCACAGCCCGGGCTGGGCCTATTTATAGGGCCCAGGGGGGAAGCGAGGAGGGGGGAGCACAAAGAGAGGAAGGCCTCTCCTGCTCCTGGCCCGCCCCACACGGCACGGGCCTCCTCTCCGCGATGGATGCAGACACAGCTCTGCTGTCCGCCTGCCAACTTTTTTCCCTTCCTCCTCTCCCCCCTCCCTCCCTCCCTCCGCCCTCAGCCCTGCCCAGCCCGAGGAGGCAGGCAGGAGGCAACCACTGCTCTAATAGGCTTTGGGAAATTCTTCCAAGTTGACCCCACTCAGGGGGCCAGAGAAATCCAGGTGTCCCCGCCCTGTGTGCAAAGCTCAGGGGCTGCCCGAGGACAGAGCCAGGCACTCCGGATGGGGCGGGGTGAGGGGACTGGACTCGACGGGTGGACGTTGCCCTCCCTGGAGGCAGGCACCATGACCCTGCTGGCCTGTCATCCCATCCCACCCCTCAGCAGTGCTAGTCTGGAGTCCACAGGTCCAGGCTTCACTCAGGCAGTCTGAGCCCTCTGACCCCCTAGCCCAGGCCTGCCTTTCACCCTGGGGATGTCCCACAGCCCCCTGCCCGATGGGCCAGGCCTCATGTGAAGGGGCACAGAGACAACAGAAGTTTGTCTGTGGGCCACACTCTACTCTGTGGTCAAGGGCAGGCTTGAGACAGGCAAGAATGTTGGAAAGACCAGATTCCGGAGACCTGGATGCTTCTGGAAAAATCTGAACCAGTGGGTTGAAGGGCAGGTGGAGAAAGATGAGGAGAGTTTCAGAATTTTTTTTTTCTCAGATACAGGCAAGCGGGGAAGTAGACCAAGTGGCAGCCTGAGCTGGAGACTGGAAGCCCAGGAGGAAGGGTGAGGCAGACTGACAAGGGAAGGGGAGAGGAGACAGACAGACACGGAGAGGAAGGAGGACAGAGGAAGAGGACAGTCCAATCAGCACAACAGGAGACGTGGAAGAGACAGATTTCCAGGAGGAGACGTTGAGGCAGGCAGGACAGAGAGAAGCCAGACAGCGCACAAAGGAAACATGATCTGGAAGCGGGAGACAGGGCTGATGTAGGCACATGAAGGAAAAAGGGGACATGGGTGAAGCAAGGGGAGATGAGGGTACCAGCAACTCCTCTAAGAAGGGGGGGGCATAAGCCTGGTTCTGAGAGCTCCCTCTCCCTGTAGTCTCCCTGTGTCCTGCACGTGCCCAGCCAGACGTGCGAAGGTGGCCAACAAACTGATCCAGAAACTGGACGCCTGGCCAGGAGGCTGGCGAGGAAGCCCAGACCGCCAGTCACTGTGGGCAGAGCCCTGTGCGGCGCTGGGCGAGGCAGGGTCCAGGAAAGGGAGGCCCTCTTTGGCCATCTCCTCTCACTTCCTGCCAGATCTGCCAACATGAGTGGGAAACTGAAGCACAGCAGGGGAAGGACTTCTTTCAGTTCTACAGGTGCAGGCGTGAGAGAAGAGGGCTTATGTCTCCTGTACAGGGACCAGGAGTAGAAGATGACCCAGCACCCCCCTGCTACCTGACCATAGCACCCACCACAGCTGCCTGGCCCTGGCCGTGACTGGTTCCAGGATCACCCTGGCATTTGCTGGGAACAGGGAACTGACCAGGGATGGAGGTGTGGGGAGCTATGTCCACCAGACTGCACCAAATGCCTGTGAGTAAAGGAGGGAGTGGGCGTGAGGCCAGGAGGCAGCATGGTGGCTAGGTGACTGTGGCCACCGCCTGCCTGAGTGGCTGGAGGTAATCGCTGCCGTACTCACCATTTAAGAGAGGGAGCCAGCTCACTCCCCAGAACCACCTCCCAGAACCATCTCCACATCCTTTCCCTTGAACAACCCTGGCTCAGTTCTTTGAGCTCCAGGAGACTCCCTCTCACCCTGGGCCTGGACCTCACGGCCTGGTGGTGGTCATGACCCACAGTGAGCTTTTTCCTGGTTAGTTCTGGGGCCCCCCACTACTACTGCAGGACTGGAACTTCCTCTCACACAGAAATTAGAGGGCAGCACTGTGCTCCCTCAGGTCAGGACTGGAGTTTCCCTCAGGTGGGGTCTTCTGGCACAGGATTAAGTCCTCGTTGGCAGAAGTCCCAGACCCACTGAGGTCAGCACTTGCCAGCCTCCTTCCTCCTTGGCTTCCGGAACTCAGTCAGGCCCTCCTCTGTCCTTGTCCTCTGCGTGGTGCAGGGACAAGTTCTGACACTGGCAGTTCTGGGACCAGCCTCAGCTGGGCTTAAGAAAGGCAGCCAGGAACTGACCCCAGGCCAGCAGGGGTCCCCGGACTCAATGATATGTGTGTCCAGCACCACAGAGAAAGGACGAGGGGCCTAATTTATGCAGCAAGTATTGACTCAGCACTGTTATAGGCCAAATGCCACTCAAAGGCTGGGGAGACAGCTGTGACCCACATAGCTTAGCTCCTTGGCCTCCTGAAGCTTGCAGTCTAGCAAGCAGGATGAGTGTGGAGGATACACACGTGTTTCCACTGAGGGGAACACTCGCAGCCCCCAGCCTCCTTGGCTCTCCAGGCAACTTAGGCCCTGCCGGCCTCAGGGTAAGATGAGGGCCCTCAGGGAACACCTCCCACCCTCCGCAGGCCCCGTCCCCTGTTCCATGTTCACATGGCCCCTGCCTTAAGCACCACCATCGCAGTCCTGTTACTTGGGAAGAAGGCATTGTCATACCAGGAGGCGCCATCAGGAAGCAGACAAGATAAAGCTGACCTCATTCCCCGTCCTCTCCCCTAATGCAAAGTGGGCTGTGTGACCACAACCCCACCATTTCAATGGGAAAGAGGGAATGTCTACCACTGGAGCCCCAAACCTCAAAAAGCCCCAAACTCGTCCACCTCCCTTCCCTGGTCTGCCTCAACTCCACACCAGTTAGACCAGTCAGAGAAGGAAGGAAGGAAGTAAACAGACTCTGGTTGTGGACCCATTTTCACTACAACCCTGGGACACTCAGATGGGAGGTGATTTGCCAGGGAACCACAGAGGGGCGTTAGAACTCCAGGCCCCCTATTCCCAGAACCCAAGTCTGGTTTTCTGCCTGATGTCAGAAAGGGCCCCTGAAGGGCCTGATTACCAGGCAGGAGTCCCAATTCTGCTGGTCTAGGAGCAAGTATAGGGCCAGGGGAAGAAGGGGAGCCCTCCAACTTGACTGCATAATAGGGTACATGAGGAAAGACTGATCAGGTTGAGTGTGGGTACACAAAAAGCTGGAAGCAGTCAGGACCACCCCTATGGCTCCACTAGCTGGGGTCTGGGCTCTGAGGAAGGGCTCGCCTCCACCCCGCTCCTCCTCCAGTGTGACCTGACTTGGCAGACTCCGATCTCTTATGGCAAGGGCCCAGACTCCAGGGCTCCCAGGCCTGAGCCAGCCTAAATAAGGGGGGCTGTCTCCTCCACCCACCCCACCCACCCCCACCTCCAGCTTCTGAGCCCTGGAGCAACGGTTTCAGCAAATGCTTTTCCACATGTGCCTTCTTCCTGCTATGCCCAAGAGGCCTGTGTGCCAGTCTGAGTTGGCTGTTCCCAGAATAATCTGGGCTTTACCCCACTGGGATCCAGTGAGAAACTTCAGGTTTTGTCCAGTGAGAAACTTCAGGTGGACACACAGAGCCTCAGATGCTGACAAAGGATCCAGACCCTCAGACTGTATGTGGAAAGGACGCCCATGGGTGTGGCCACACAGCACTCTCTTAGCCAGAAGCTTCTGTGGGGCACAGAACAGGAGGAGTGAGGGAAATGAACCCTCCTCCTAGGCTGAGTAGGGATTTTTCTCCCCTAGTTCACATTACAGAAACAATGACTTCACTCCTGGAGGAGACCCTCCGGGAAGATGGAGTTTGTTTGGGCTGGGAAGGGCCTGACACAGCCGACTTGCCATGACCACCCAGTTACCCTCAGCTCTCCATCATTTTCCAGCACGGCTCATGCTTCCTGAGTTGAGGCAGAGAGCAGTGATGGAGGGAGGGAAGACAGGACAAAGTTCCCGAGGGCCTTGGAGATAAGTGCTGAAAGTCAGAGATCCCCTCTCCCGGGGAGGGGTACCCCCCAGCCCTGCCCTTCGACCCTACCCCGACCTCCATCGAGGACCTGCAGTCGGGCTTGGGCTACTCAGAGGGAATTGTCTCCAGAGAGGCAGGGGCCAGAGCAGGAATTTGCAAGAGTGTGGATTAATCCATCAAGTGGGTGTGGGGCCTCTTAGAGCCTGAGGGTATAAAGAGGGACCCAGGCCCAGACACAGGGACCACAGGACATCCGATGTCTTGTCTCAGTCCTCCAGGGTCTCCACTCACCACCAGGATGGCCCTGGCCATCCCAGCACAGCACCGGCCCAGCCGACATGGGCTCCAGATCTTCTCTTGCCCACCTCACCGTCCTGCCCACATTCTTTCTTCTTCCTCCTTCCAAGTAGTTGCCCAGCCTCCCCTGACCCTCTTTTCATGGCAGCATCTACAATCAGGGTCCAGTGCTCGCTCCAGCCTGGGCCGTTCCCTCGTCGCCCTGTCGGGGAACACTAGGGTCTTCTCACCCCTTCCCTGTCTACCACAGCCTCGGGGAGCAGAGCTGAGCACGGAGCCTGCTGTGCTGGGATGACCGGGCCATCTGCTCTCTCGTCGCCAGGCTCCCAGGAGGCAGGACACCCACCTCTCAAAGTATGTGAATTCCTCCCTGTCTGATAGATAATTCCTGGCCATTTAGGCGTCACACGATCCCCCTTAAATCAAAACCGGATTTAGCTGGTCACCAGTGATTCACCAGAGGAGGAACAATTTAGTAATTTTCTGAGCTAAAATGCCCCCTTTCACTTCTTTCTGCCCTCACCCCCATCCTGGCTTGCCCCAAACAAATTGTTGCTTATTGTCCGCAGTGGTGGTTGGGGTGAGGGGGAAATTCCAAAAATTTCCATTTTGATATCTTACCATTAACTCACCAACAAACTCCCAACCTGATACCACAGAGGAGCCAGGGAGACAGGATGGCAAAGCTCCCCCGTTGAGCTGAGGTCTGTAAGAACCTGACCGCTGTGTCCAGGGTGGGGGACACAGATTCAAGAGGGGGTCTGGGCTCAGAGGCCTGAGAGAGGCCTATG